CCGGCTTCCCAGTCAGCCTTGCAATTCTGGTTTTGCAATATAACCCAGCTTTCTCCGCTCTGCCAGGGTAGCTGGTTTCCAAGATGAAGGCGCTGAGGATACTGAAACAAAACAACAGACTAATGGGATGTAACTGAATGCTGCAACATTACTTTTGCATTTTCCATTTCCAGTTTTCCACTCCTATTTTAACCTTTCCGAATCAAAAATTTTTACATACCCTGCAACTTAGTTTGATTGGCTCTGAATATTTCTTCCTCACTAGAAGATTTTCTGTTCTCCAATTGTATAATATATACATTTAAAAAAAATACTGTAGTGCCGGGCTGGGCGAGCCGAGGACTCAGGCCAAGGAGGAAGAACGCAGCCGACTCAGTATGAGTGATAAAGCATGCTTCAGTTTATTGATTTTTGTTACAGCTTTTTATAATCCTTCTACTAATTATGCCTACTAGTCACTAGCTGATTGGCTTAAGCTCTAAGGGTCGTATTCACATGGTCCACCTACTTGCAGTTAGCTTACAGCACAAGCCTCTCACAACACTAAGTTTCTCATGCTACTATTTCTGATTGCTGTTGACTTGTTTTCGATACACGACAGTACCGTAACACAATGTTTCTCAGACCACCGTTACCATAACACTAGGTTTCTCAGACCACTATTTCGAATTCCTCTCAACCTGTTTTCGACACACCACAGTACATAGGGCTGAAGCGTCCTTGACATTCCTCCTGTATCAGCAGCTGCGAGCAGCTGCAGGCAAACCCTAGTGAGGCTCAGCATCAGCAGCTGGAGCAGGCTCTGATCATACAATTGCTCGGTGGGCTCAGGACCCTTGTCTCTGAGCCATTCTCCAACACTGTAGAGTGGTTTTTTTCTGCAGAAAAGCTTGTCTGTTCCTCCAACTGTTTTAGATGCCCTAAAGAAAGATATTACCTCTTGCAGCGGCTCTTGCCATGCTTCAAGACTACGAGCTACTAGACCTGCAACTTAATACACCAGTTACTGTGTAATTTAGGATAGAAACTGCTTGGCCTATCTGAATGAAATATTCAGAAAACTTAAGAATTTTGCTTTCTTCTTAGTTATTGTAATTTCCTGGATCATATCTTTATTTCCATTAGCCTTGCTGCCTTCTCCTCCCATAGCTGCCATTGTTGGTTATTCTGATTGCACTGAATTCCTATTTCACTGGTCATTTTTATAGCTAAAGAATATTTTATTAAATGTTTTAATTTACCTTGTGAAACTAAACTCCATCTGACTTTTGCCAGTACTCGTGGTTATGACCTTGAAAACAGATCTTTGTTTACCAGTCAGTCCCATGTCCCATTTTGCTAATGTTTTTGCCAAGACAGATTCCACCGGCCGAGTTTTAAGCATCCCAACCTGCAGGTAAAGCAGGAGAAAGTAAATTTGTTGGAAGCATGAAAACTGATGAATCATTTTCTTTGGGGGGAAAAAAGGATAGATTTTGCCATAAAAAAGCGTGCCTTCTGCTAGAAACCTTCTAGAAGTACAAGTTACTTCCTATGTTCTACTGGTGAATAATTTTTAGCTGCAAGATGTTTGATTACCACACTTACTAGTCCAGAGAAATTCTTGTAAGATGGATGTCTGCAAGATGTAAATGCTAAGCTAGTTGCTTATTGTTAAAACAAAACTGGGATTGTTCAGCACTGCAAGCGCATTTAGATGGTCTTGACATTCCTAGTGTTCTGGTTTGGGATGACAGGTATCAAAACAGACTGGTTTATGCAGCTTTAACTGTATCTAAATAATCACCTCCAATTGCATTTCTTGGTATTTTTTCTTGTAGCTTTAAAAGCTTTGTACATACAACGATATTCTTAATGTCTTCATCAAAGTCATCTTGTGCAACAAAGCTCAGAGAAGAAATGGAAGAAAAATATATAAGGGGCTTTAAAATTGTGTTAGGTTTTTATTCAGTTTTAGATGAAAAAGCTATACGATCAATATATATTACAGCCAAAACCAAAAAATAAGACTGTGGCTACAAACCACGTAGTTTTGCCCTAAATATACTTCTGCGTGTCTTAGAGACACGGTGTGACTGTAGTCTCTTTTCATGTAGAAGGGATGATTTACTAGGAGCAGGTAAAACACAAGATTACCGAATTCTATCATTTCTTTTACAAAAGTAGCGATTATGCTTGCTTGTCATTGTCACTTGTCTTAAAAAAAAAAAATCAGGGCAATGGTTGGCCCGATTTCTGCAGGTTGTCAGCTGGTGTGGAGGATCTGCTATCCATATGTGTGTTTCGAGAGACTTTATGTCAAACTGCTCTCAGATACAGCGTGCCCAAGTGGCTGGAGCTTTTCTTCAAGTTTTGTTTCTTCTGAAAGGAATCTGTTTCATGAGCTCCAGGACTGTTTGGTGATACAAAGTGTGGGGTTGAAAGGCAGATCAGCTTTAAACGTGCCTTCCTGCTCCGAAAGAAAACGCTAATGCAGCCACATGCGTACGCCTGAAGGAGATGATTATATGTGGAGAGGGAAACTAAACAGTATTATAAATTGGGGAATATGGGTGATCTTGAAAAAAACTACTGCAGGATGCAGGAAACCAAGTTGGTAGTAATGAAAAGCAATGGTCTAACATCATCCCAGGCAACTTACATCCCATCCCTACCTAAGTGAACACTCTCAGTCTGATTTCTTTCTAACTCAAAAGGATTGAACTGTTTATTGCAGGTATCTTTCTCCCTTCACTGGTTATCTAACATTTATCAAATAAATAAGCAAATGCATGGTGCCATCCAATGGAAAAAGGGCTTCACAGAGATACCTTATCCAGCAAACACAACATTTTGGAAGAATGCAACATACCAGATGCTAGCCCCAAGTCCAGTCCCTTCATTTGCACAGACACAGCCATCTTTCAACACCTCATCAGTTGCAGAAAAATAAGCCACATCATGATCATTGCATCCATTTTCAAAAGTGGTAATAATGAGTTGTGTTAGAGTCCTCCCTGTGCTAATTACAACAGATCATTCTATCTTGGAGCTTTACGAGACAAAATACTTCCGAAAGTTTGTATAGATTAAAAAAAAAAAAAAAAAAAAAAAAAAAAAAATTTCACTGCACAGATCTAATCAGAAGGGTGTTTGGAACACCCTTTGCTTAACATCACCTTCATTGATGAAGCTGGCGGTTCTTGGTCTCCTTTGAAGTGTTCCTGGTGACCACATCAAATATTCAATATCAGATCTATGCAGGCTGGTGTCAATGTCTGCTTTCTGCCAACAACCCACTTTTCTGCTCTTCCTTGCGATTTTTGTCTTGTAACTGCTGTGTTCTGTATACTTTGCTGCCTCATGAAATCCAGCCATTTCAGTTGATATTCCTTCAGCTTTATTATAATGTGGTTCTTCTAAATTCTGATTCACAGCAATCACTGAATAGTTGAGTGATTAAATAGTTCTCATTTTACCTACTCGTTTTGGTAATGTTTTAATGTCTTTTATACCAGAAACATTTTTACCAGAAACATTTTTTCATTATTAGTGGTCCTATAGCGAAGATATGAGGAAAAAAATCCTGCATACAGCAGAACCTCTAGTGTGTATATCTCAGAAATAATTCTTCAAAAATTATTTTTTTTTACATCAGTCCTTCTAGAAAAATGTAGAGCAGAATAGGGAACACCGCGCTTGCCTTTGTAATATTCAGCTTTAACTCACAGATGTCTGTGGTGATGTAAAATAACATCACAGAAACGAGGATTCATGCATAAAAAATATTTGATCTAATGCAGTGAGTTCATAAGAAATAGTTTCAAAATAAAATATGGATATAATTGCTGACTGAAGAGAGACTGACTGCATAAATCCTGCTGTCTTTGCTGAGCCAGGAATTAATTCGTTCTCTGTGTTCCTCCCTGGAGCTGTTACAACATGCCTCCAGCCAGCACCGCATACCTTGCACTGAGAGGACAATATACCAAGGCACAGGGCAGGGTGTTATCTCTCATCTTTGATTATCTGTGGCTACCACATGGTGGGAAGGATGGCTGAACCTGTTTCCATTTGGTAAATACAACAGTGCCAGAAAGCAGAATGAAAATTTGGAGTGGAAGGAGCAGGACATGTCTGGATTATTCTCCACATTTTTTACAGAATATTTGTAATTACTTAGCAAATGTGTTTATGATGTATTTTTAACAATAATGAAAACACCTACCTTGATAATTCTAAAAGGTCCATTGCTGTTTACTTTGGGAGGAACCTGAGAAAGAGCTTTCCTCTACCTTACTATCTCTTCTAATACTTAGTCAACAAATTAGTCAATAAGTGACCACGCAGTCTTAAAAATGCCCACACCTGATTCTGTGTTCATCATGCTACGTTTGAAGAACTTCTACTCTGAAGAACTCTGACTCCAGCATTGGCATGTGAGTGAAAAAGAGAACTAAGAAACACCAGAATATAGCAAGCATACTGTTCCCAGAGCAGCCACCAGGTAAGTAAGTAACCTCTAGAAAATGTCAGGGCTACTTATTAGCTGTGAAGCTTGTAGGTAAAATCTTAGGGGTTAAATGGGACTAAACTTGTACGTTCAAGCTTCGGAGCCAAACAGCCTAATGACAGGTGGCAGTGTGTGGATTTTAGGCTAAGTTGTGAAAGTAGCCTATTGAAGAAGCAAATAAACAGCCGACGTCCCCGGGGTGCTCCCGCCAGCGGCCTCCACAGCCCTGAGGGGGGTTCCTCTTTCAGTGACACGGGCTCTTCAACTAGGGAAGTCTGCAGCTGCCCGTGCTACAAAAAAAAAACAAAAACAAAAACAAAAACCAAATAAAACAAAAGTTGGTCTTCCAAATCTTGCAACGCCTGCTCGGAGGATTTCCTGCCGGCTCCCCCCGCGCCTGCCCTGGGGGGGCGGCCAGGCCCTGGCACCGGTAGGGCTGGGCAGGGGGGGAGATGGCGGCTCAGGCCGTGGGTTGAAGCGAGGCGGCCGCCTCGCCTGGCGCCGCCGCCCGCCTTTTTTTCAACAGAAAGCGGCTCTCGCTCAAAGCCTTTATTTTTCTCAGCCCGGGTTTAATCTGCACCGACTGCCTGCGCCCAGACACCTGCCGCCCTGCGCCGGGGCGGCGGCCAGGCCCTGCCCCTGCCCCTGCCCTGCTTGGGGCCGCCTCACCGCCGCGGGGGCACCGGGCTTTGCCGGCGGAAGGCGAGGCCCGGCCGGCAGCGGCGCCGCGGTTCACGGGCCGCCCGGGCCTTTTGGGAGGCGGCAGCGGGGACGGCCCCCGCCTCGCTGCGCCCCTGCACGGCCGCGCAGCAGGTAGGCAGCGGCGGGGATTCCCCTGGGGGCCGGCCCGGCCCGAGGGAAGCCGCCCGCCCGCCCGCCCGCCCTCAGCGCCGGCCGCCTGCCCGGGAGGCGGGCGGCGGGGCTTCCCCCCTCAGCGGCGGGGCAGCCGCTCCGTGGCGGTGCCGGCCGGGGGGCGGCCGAGGGCGGCGGCGGGTGGGAGGCGGCGGGGAGCGGCCGGGTTGTAGCGGCGAGCGCTTTTCTCCGTCGGTCGCGTAGCGAGGCAGACGGCGTCAGGCGGTTTGGGATAATCAGGGGTGGGGGGGGGAAATCCGTACAGGTGCGCCGATTGTCGTACTTCGCTCCGGTGTCCCGCTTTTGGGGCTGGGAGGTGGTTCTGCCCGAGGCGGTGTCTCCTGGGGAAAGCGAGGGGGCAATTTAGGAGCGGGAGTGGAATCTGGTTTAAAAGGCCAGCGTTTTTCTCTGCCGGCCGTGCGTGCGGCGGGGCTCGGTTTCTGAGGGAAAGCGCGCCTTCGGCTGCGGTGGGTCTCCGGGAGCGCCGGCGGAGCGGCTACAGCCCCGTCCAAGGGCGTGCTTCCAGGGAAACGTAAGGATTTCAGGGAGGAATACCGAAAAATTCTTTCCTGCCATGCCTGGTGGGGGATGGCAGCGATTCCCAGGGCGGCGGCTGAGGTAGGCTCGGTGCCGTAAGTGCATCCCAGCGCGGGGGCGCACCCGGCGCTTGGGCACCAGGTGGGCACGCCTCAACGGCGAGGGAGTGCACGGACTTCTTGTGATCGTTTTTCCTAGATCAAAAGTGAAACTCTTGATTATCTTCTCTTGAAGAGTCATGGCATATCCTGCAGTTAATAGAAGCGCTTAGGGCAATATGATTTTTTTTTTTATTTTTTTTTTTTTTTTTTTTATGATTTACGATGTTCATGGGTTTATGTAAAAGAAGTGGTGTGATACTCTGACTTTTTGCCAGTTCTCTCAATTCTGACAACAGGACTGTTGCATGTTTTAATCTGTCTAAAATGTTTTAGAATAAGACAGAAAAAAAGTGCCACTAGTGTGCAAAAATTAGTAAAAGCCATGACTCTTCAAAGTTCTGATGAGACTTTTTTTTTTTTTTTTTTTTTTAGTAGATTAACTTTGAAAGGATTAGAGAGCAGGGGAAAAGGTAGATGTACCAGTTTAATGACAGATTTTCATGAGAATTATGTTTAATATGCGCTATCATGGATTCTGTAATTGTAATTCAGGTGTGTTTATCACTGAAGACTTTTTTCAGACATTTGTCTTTTTTTTTTTTTTTTAATCTTAAATTGAGATGAATATTTCCTTTCAGGGTGAAACTTTATGGACATGACCTCAGATACATGGAAATTTTTCCCCTCTGGAAAACTTGGACAAAGATAACTCCAGCTGAATTCTGTCCTGAGTGGTAAAGCTCCACAAGTTGATTGCAGGCTCAAGATGTGGACAAAATGGCTGGGAAAAGGGATAAATTTAGCTGTTTATCATGGCAAAATGTGGTAGGAAAAACATTTGACTCTGCAGTCATACATTTGTTATTTTCATCATGATTTATGTGAATGCATGCACAGAGCAGAGCCTAATTTTGCTGTTGGGTATACCTTTCACAAAAATGCAAGTTTATTCATAATGAAGAGTCAGAGACAAGAAGGAGTCTTCGCAGAGCAAGCAGTTCATGTGTCTGCTTTTACACAGGGCTGTGTATATTTGCAGGTCTCCATGTTGGCAAAATTGCAAATTATAAACTTAAACAGAAAGAACATTAAATATATAGAGAATCAGGATTCTTCAAGAAGGATTCTGCAAGACTTTCCTTCAAAACATGGCAAAGTACTACTGCTGCATCTACTGGACCTATTGATAGGGCCAAAAAACTGCTTGAAAGAGCATGTATGAGACAGTAGAGTAAGGTAACACTGTAATGGAACAGAATTTATGAACAAACAGGGCTTCAGAGAAGTCATAAAGAAAATACCTGGTCATAAGTGGAGTCTATTCAGTCCCATTTTCTCTTTAAATTATTTCCATTATAATATTTTAATCTTCTTTAAAATTGAAAACTAGAGATTTTAAGAGTTACTGTCCATCACGATAGTGAAAAAAGAGCTTTTGTACAAACACACATAAACCTCCTCTAGTGATTTTGAGGTTTTACATATTTCTTTTTATGCTCAGCATTCTTGTGGGGGACTAATTCCTTACAGCTAGGCAAGAAAAGACCTGCCTGGTAATTTGGGCGGAAATTTGCAATGAGGGAGGAGGTAAGAGAAGGGGAAGAAGGAGGAAAGCAGGCACTGCAAGAAGCAGTGTGGATGACTCAATATATGGCACGCTTCTGAGGCAATTTGGTGAAGTAAGACGCAGCAGACAGAAGTGTCATCTTTGACTATTGTAGAAATTAGTGATCAGCTAAAGATTTTCACAGCAGGATGGGGTTCTCCTGCTTATCCTTCAGTTTGAATAATTGCATTTGTCATTGCACAGTGCTGTAAAAACTGTGGTAGTCTGAATATAAAAAAAAGCAGTAAGGCAGGCCAAGTTAAGGAACAACTTGTCAGGGCCATGCAACTAATATATCCTTCAAACGCCTTAGGGATTAGAAGCCTACCAAAGAGTCGTCAGAGCCAATAGATCATTCAGGTATAAAAAAACCCCTATGGGATGGGCTATGGGAAGATCCAAACATAGCAAGGGGGAAAAACAAAAATTTTTTTGCATTTGTGTTCGTCTTGGAAGAACATGGATTTCAGTGCTAGTACCTTTTCTTATAGCTAATCTTCCATGGAAGGACCTGTCTCAAATTGAAAAGTCAGTAACAGGCAGTTATAGAACAAAAAAAGTACCACTCTTGTGTTCTCTTGTTGTAAATGTCTCACCTAAAGCAGCTTTGGGACCAAAAGATCAGAAAGTGATAAATGTTTTTTTATCTTCCTCAGGTGACCAAAAGAGAGCCAGAAAAGTAGAGACGAGTGAGCCTGGTATCTGCAGCAGGCAGCCGGGTAGAAATTGCTTTAAAGAGTGAAACTGGTGGAAATGAAGATAAATTATATAGGGAAGGAGTTAACAGTGACTTTTGTAAAGGGAAGTCATGGCTCTCAAATACTAAAAGGGTGTTAGAATTGTACACGTGGATCAGAACACACTGGTTGCAGGAGAAATGGTTGATACCATCTCCCTTAATTTCCAGAAGGCATTCAGCAGAGTCTGTCAATGAAGCCAGACTGCCACAATATATTTATTCTCACATGTATAAATAAGGAGGTGAAAGATAAGTGATTAGTTCTTCAGGTGGAGAAAGATCACTAGTGGAGTCCCAGATAACTCTCTTCTGCTCAGCATATATTTTTAATAGTCTAGACAGAGGGAAACTGTTGCAATTGCAGAATTTGCCAACAACACAAAACTATTTAGGCTAGAATACAGAGGTATTAATTGCAAAGATGGCAGAAGGTTATCATGATAGTGAATGACTGGGTAATAATAGCAGGAGAAATTTATTGTAGGTAAATGTAAAGAAAATTTAAAATGAAAATATATGGGCAAAATCCTAATGTCGTGTGCTCAGTGGCTGACTGGTTTTACCCTGTTTTTAACACTCAGTGATGAGATCTTGGGATTTTACTACGTAGGCCCATGGAAATACCAGGTCAATACTCAGTAGTACTCAAAGAACAAATAGATTGTTAGAAATTATTAGGAAAAAAACACAGAAAAAAAATTGTTTTAGTTTATAAATCCATAGTGTACCTGTGTTTTGAAGAATGCATGCAAGTTCTGTTGTCCACTCCCCACCTCAGACAAGCTGTAACATAACTGGGGATGGTACAGAAGACAGTGACAAAGATGGCCAGAAACAGGAAATCAGATTCCGTCAGAGAGTCAGAGAAACTAAGACTGTAGCTTGGGAGATCAAGAACTGGGGAGTAGTGTGCTAGAGATATAAAAAAATCCTGAGTACTTGACAAGCTGAGTAGGAAAGCTTTGCTCTTTTTTTTTTCTTTTGGTATAATAATTAGGAACTGTCAGGTAACAGACTCAAAACAAGCCAAAGACAATTCCTGTATTTTCTGTGTCCTGTATGAACTCTGTAATTCATGTATTAATTATGTAATGCAAGTGTTGACTTTAAATTGTCAAAGTGTATGTTGGAAACCACTAATTGAAGGTTTTCTATCCATTTCTGCAGGGAAACATGACAGCAAAAACCTTGTTTTCGTGTAATATTACAACAGCATTTCTGTCTTTAATTATTGCAGGTAAGTTTATTGGTGGCTGTGGAAGGTCCTGTTCTGAAACATTTTTTCGCACAAGTAATACTAATTTTCTGTGAAAATGGCTGTAAAAGTCAAAGTTACGTGCATGCCAATGAGTTCTTTTAAATGGTCTTAAAAGCAGGAACCTATAAAACATAAAATATGTGATATTTTATGCACTATCTTATCAGCGAATCATTTAGGTTGGAAGAGAATGCTTGTTATCATCTAATCTAACCGCCCTGACCTCCCCCCCAGCCAGGATCTGCTAGAGCAGGTTGCCCAGTACCATGTCCAGCTGGATTTTGAATATCTCCACAAATGGGGACTCTACTACATCTCTGGGCAACTTTTTCACTTGTTCCAGTGTTTCATGGCCCTCACAGTACAAAAGTGTTTTCTTGTGTTCAGATGGAATTTTGTGTGTCTCAGTTTGTGCTCCTTGCCTCTTGTCCTGTCAGTGGGCAATACAGCAAAGGTCTGGCTCTTTGTTCTTGATTCCCTTCCATCAGGTATTTACACACATTGATAAGATCCACCCACACACTGCCCAGGCCTTCTCTTCTCGAGGCTGAACAGTCCCAGCTCTTTCAGCCTCTCCTCATGTGAGAGATGCTCCACTCCCTTAATCATCTTTGTGGCCCTGTGCTGGACCTCCTCCAGCAAATCTGTCTCTCTTGTACTGGGGGCCCCAGAACTGGCTGCAGTACTCCAGCTGTGGCCCTGAGTAGAGGGGAAGGATCTCTTCCCTGCACCTGCTGGCAGGTCCTAATACAGCCCAGGACACTGTTAGCCACCTTTGCCTTGAGGGAGCAGTGGTTGCTTGTGGTCAGTTTGTTGTCCAACGGGACCCCAGTGTTGTTCTCTGCAGATCTGCTTTCCAGCTGAATGGTCTCCAGCGGGTGCTGGTGCCTGCGGTCATTCCGCACCAGAGGCAGGACTTCACATTTCCCTTTGTTGAACTTCATGAAGTTCCTGTCAACCGTCTCCAGCCTGTTGAGGTCCATCTGAATGGCAGCATGACTTTCTGGTGTATAAACTGATGAAATGAGTTGTAGTTTTAACTTTACAGAACGTGTCAGTAGGAATTTTTCATATTGGAAAATACAGCCATTTGACAATAATACATCTCGATTTTTGTAAAATAGTTAGGCTACTCAGTTGCAACTGCTTGTTTCAGCCCTTCAGCTGTCAACCAGCATTCCAGTTCATGTTTAAAATATTTCAGATGGTTCAGACGAATTGCTGTCATAATCTTGTCATTCCACCTGGAATCTTGCAGCAGTGCCAGACTGTTAAAAGAAAAATTTCATGAATTTCCATTCCTTCAGTTTCTAGCAAGCCATTTGGTTGGAAATGGTTTGGTTTTGGTTTGGTTTGGTTTGTTTTTTTCCCATGGATGGACAAGCTGCAAGGTTCACAAATCATTTGGATAGTCTGTTTTTTGGCTAAGTAAGTAATCATATGAAAAGGTGATTATTTGGCTGCCCTCCCCCCAGTAGCAAAGAGTTTTATTGTCTGCTTATTTATATGTGTACCTTAATTCTTTCCTGCTCCATGGAAATAATGGAGGGAATTGGGGGAGGGGGGATTTCAGAGAAGTTGAGGCAAGAAGCGTATAAAAAAATGACACTGTTTCAGAATATTAGCATTTAGTGGCAGAAAAGGGTTATCAGTTCCTGTGGCCACAGCATTTCATAACCATGAAAATTATTGTGGGGCATTCAATACAGATACCTGAGCAATTCAGTGTTTTGATAAGTAATTTGGAAAAGTTTTATAGTGAGGTGGTGAGAACTGTGGATGATACAAAATCATCCCTTGGTGGTCAAAACTAATGCTCACTATGAAGAAGATGTCTGGATATTGAATGGTTTAGTGATGGAACGTCAATAAGTAAAATTAAATGGATGTGGAGGGGCATGGAAGGGTAATACACATATAGCAGAAGCATGTACACTGTATGTGTGTGATGTGAACAATAAGTTAGTTAATAACTGCTTGGGAAAAATGCTACTTTGATGATCTCTGGATGCTCTCTGGAAGCATTAGTTCTGTTGTCAGTGGTGGTCAGAAAAGCAGAATTTTTGGGAAGCGGTAGAGCAGAAAACAGAAAGCTTCATTATGGTACTCTGTAACCCTATGGTGAATGTGCATCAACTCAGCTCTGCAGTTCTGGTCACTTCGTCTCAGAAGGACTGTACCAGAGAAGGTAGAGAGATGAGTGACAGTGTTGTCTGGTATGGGATGGCTTCCATATGAAAAGTCATTAAATGAATGAGGAGTCTGAAGTAAAGAAAAGAGGCTACTGAGGCAGGATGTGATGGAGGTCTATAAAATTGTAAATACCACAGACTAGGCAGATGAGGGAAAGTTTACTTTGCCATTTCTCATAACAAGAAATACATGATACCCAGAGAAATGATAAAAGCCAATGAATGTTTTCTCATACAGAACATAAGAGGAAGGAAAGGGCCCAAAAGCAAAGTATTACTCTACTTGTGTCCTACTCTCGTTTCTTACACGTTTGCCACTGGTTGCTCTCAGAGACAGAGTTTTGGGCTAGACAAGCATTACATGACTTTGTGTGGCTGTTCTTACATTCTATTGAAACAAGGAAATTTAGATAAATATAATACTGACTTAGGAATGTGACCATGGTATCCAGACTTGATGCCTTTTTTTGTCATACTGACAACAAAATTTAAAAATCTCATAGTGTTCATCTTTTCCTTTGTGAATCTCATTGGGTCAGGAGGAAAGAAAATAAGCCCATTGGTAAGTGCTTGTGATAATTCCTTTCTAAATCCTCATAAAATGAAAGGTGAATTGAAATTTATGTAGCAAGCTTTATATTTGTGTGCAACAGCAACTTTAACTTCAGTGTCCTCTTAGGACATTTGGGTAGTGAAAGCATAGTCTGTCTTGAAGACTTACTTTGACTACAGTTAAGTGAAGTTAACAAAGACATTAAACGTGAAAATCGTGTGTGTATGTTTGTGTACATGCACATGAAACAGACTGGAGAAATACAGGTACTTTAGTAATTTGCATCTGAACTGAACCATACAAATGACAGTCTGCTGCAGACAAATTTTGCCTTCAAAAAACAGCATTTCATTTCAGTGACATAACTGTATCTGTATATCACCGAGTGGTACTCTTAACTGTAAAGGTAATGGATTATAATTGTGGTTTTAATAGATGTCTTGAGAACGGAGGTGAAAACTCCAATGAACTTTGTAAATGTAATCAAGAAATGAGTTCAGTATATCCTTTTACAGTGTTTGAGGTTTTCTTTAATGTTTATCTCTTTCCTTTAGAGAAATGTGAAGCCTATAGTGTGATGTTGAGGCAAAGTCTTGTGCCTGATGGGCAGCCTCTTGCTATTAAATGTTCACTGGAAAAGAGCTTGAAAAGTGGAGACTACAACTTAACGTGGTATAAAGTTGGTAACCAGACAGCTGTGCCTAGAGACAAACTTTCTAGAATTCATCAGCAGAAGAATTTAATTTGGTTTCTTCCTGCAATGTTAGAAGATTCTGGAGATTATGAATGTGTCATAAGGTGAAAGTTAAAAAAAATTTACATTGTTACAGAAATGAGTTGCAGAGGGAATAACTTTTAGAAAGCAAGTAGAATTTGGGGGGTAAGAGAAATACTAATGAAGAAGGGAAGGTTCATTCATAAAAACTAACTTTAGGTTGGGGAAAGTAAGTCTAATTTCGGGTTCTTTTTTTAGTAGTCAAAAGTAAATCTATTGGAGAAAGTGTGAACTTCTTGTCCTCTCTTTCTTCTCCAAAAAGAATACCATATATTTTTGAGTGGGAAAATATGCCAAATAGGTTTATTTAATTATTTTACATTAATTGCAGGAATTTGACAAGCTGCAGGAAAATGTTTACAAAAGTAACAGTTTTTGAGAGGATGGATGGTTTATGCTTAAATGAAAAATTTGCTGTAGAGGAGGTGATATTCACATTATCATCTGCAAAGGTTGTGTGTCCACACTTGGATTATTTCAGGAATGGGAAGAATATGCATCCTGTTCGCTGGTATAAGGTGAGAACACTGTGTTCTGTACTGTCTTGTAACTGTCCACTAATTAAAATAAAAATCACTGATGTTTGTGGATTGTAGGATAAAAACTAAAGACTTACTGTAAATGGGAGAAAAATGCTTTGAAAATGTATTGGAAGAGGATTGAGACTTTTTATCTTTTAAAGGTACATCCAGGTTTTTTGATTTAAGAAATTCGGTTTAGATGGAGGAGAGACGTTGACCCACGTATCCACCAGGTGGCACCTTTTTACCTGCTAGCGAGACACACTGTGCTGGATTCCTTCCCGGGGAAACAGATTTAGTATGTCATTTGCGAGGGATGGCACATCCACTCTGTGCCCAATGTTGTTCCGTTAAATAAATAGCATTTCATATTGTTCATGTGTATTTAAAGGCTCTTTCTGTGGCAAGAACGTTGTGCCTTCTGCAGCATTCCTGCCTCATGCCCATGCAGTCCATGTGGTACCAAGAGTATTTAAGTACTTTAAAAAATTAAATCTAATTACTGAGTGATTCTTCATTACTTAATACTTTTAGAAATCCTGACACTTGCATTTCACTTTCTTATTTCTCTGATATTGAAACTTGTTTTCTGTCAGAAATGAACTGGAGTGTCTCTGAATTAAAAGCTCAGAGCCAAAATGAAGTCTGGTTTGCTTTTTATTCCACCACCTTTGCTCTTCCTCAGCCTCTGCAAGACATCCATCCTTATGCTGTGGTCCACTGAAAGTTCAGATTGCATTAAAGAGAGACAAACCATGTTTCTGTATGATAGTGATATGAATTAACAGTTTACTTCACACGTTTAGGACTGCCAGCTGCTGGAAGGGCAGAGGTTTGCCTTCTCAAACAGTGATCTTATAATTTTCAATGTGACTGTACATGATCGAGGAAACTATACATGTGAAACAACATACACCTACAATGGAAAACAGTATAACATTTCACGAGACATCAGTCTGATTGTAGAAGGTAAGTAGATAATTTCACTTTTTGTGTTCTTAGCAATGACTCCAAATTTTTGCCCAGCTTTCTAAAGACTAAAACTGAAAGTCCCAGTTTGTGGATAGGCATGCTTAAGGCTACTAGTTTTCACCTAAATATGAGGGAAAGAAGTGCTGACTGCGAGTTTATTTATTATTTGTCTGTTGTTGCCACTATGTTGAAGAATTGTTGCCCTGTTCAAAGTTGCAGTATGTCAAAGCTTTCCTGTCCAGACCAGCTGCCAGGGTCCCTAAGCAGATGCCCTGTAAGGCTTGGCAGGCACAATACTTTCTGCTGTAGCTGCACCCTCTAGCCTGCCCATCTTACTTACATTTCTTTTACATTGCCCTCTTGATGCAAGACCAATGAACTAAACCAGCCCAAATGATAGCAGTATCTTGACTCCACGTGTCCTACCTGTTTCCTTCAAACTTTTGTTTCTTCTGGTTTTGGTTTTAAGCTCCTCAGCACAAGAACTGCTGGTCTCTGATATGTGTCTATCTCAGTACAGCCTGATTGATGTCGGGGGGCCACCAGCACAACAAAAAAATATAAAAGAAGGCTTAGCTGTAAAACGTGAACTCCTTTGCTAGCACAGCATTATGAGATTGATATTGGATCACTGAAAAGGCTGTGCTATGTCAAGGGATGAAATACCAATAATGATTTTACATTTGAGCTGATGAAAGACATTTTCAGGTTTCCTAATAGGTTGCATTACTATTTGTTGTTCTGTTTTTGTGCTTGCCTATTTTGGCTGTGTGTGTATATACATGCATGCATATGTATGTATGTATATATGTGTGTATATATAAGATACAGCCATCTATCATATTTATATAATGTCATATGTATATGATACGGATAAACAAAATATAAGGAACATAAGGTCAGATCAGATGAAATGATCATTCTGGTCTCAAAATGTGTCCTGGAACTTCTCTCTTAGTGTAATTTCAGCTCCCACTACTCAGTAGAAGCAAAATTATGTCATTCATTTGCTGTAAATGACTGAAGGCAGCTCGTCTGTTTTTAAAGACTTCAGCTGAGCAGGTCTACACTAAAATGGGTGATTTGGGGTTCAGTCAGTAGTGCAGACCCGGTTTTCAGAAGGGGAAGGAAAGGATGTATCTGGGGCAATCCTTTGTGCTTCCCTAGGGGTCTCAAGCAGCATGCTTTATGATTTCTTTTTGTTAAATTGTACTCTTGGAGAAACCTCCCTGAACTTTGAGTGTCTGGTGGGATGTGTTCTAAAATGTCCTACAGCTGCCCAAGACAACTGGAAATGGTATGTGTGTTCAGTGAGGGACCCTCCAAGCTGGGATTCATTCAGCCATAGTGAGACATTTCTAATGTAGATGTTTAGATCTCTACCTGTTGATTAGTCTCCTTTTGTACCCTGTAGAGAGAAATAAGCTTTCCAGAATGTCATCTGTCTAGTCCTAATGTAAACATCTAAAAGGGGCCGCTGGTCTTGTACTTCCTTATAGTGGGAAGAATTGCAAGGCCTTTAACTAGAGTACAGAAATTAAATTTCACCTTCATAACAGTAAAAGTCTAAAATAGATGAATTGCACTCTACAAGAATTTGGCTCCAGTTTGTATCTGTGGGTCCAGGTTCTAGAGGGGTAATACTGTAGATATTTACCCATACTCTTCTCAGCACCTGTACATATGGGATTTTTATGCCATAGAACAGCCAGTCCACCATGAGTCTGTGGAGATTTGGGGCACTACATTTTGGAAGAGGTAGGGTGTAAAGAACAGTTTATCTTCGAGTCAGAAGTAACAGCTACCTGAGATACGATATTTTCAGTGTTAAGTGATGTCTGTTATAATGTTGCTGACAACCTTGTCCATAGAACAGGTGTTTTTTAGGTTGTACTTGGATTATAGAGCATAGAACAGACTGAAGCTGCCCCAGGTTTTCTGAAAAGCACTTTCTTTCTTTTGGTTAGTGAGCCCACCAAAAAAGCCCCCTGAAATATCCTATCCAAGAAACAACTCCATTGAAGTGGAACTTGGTAAGTAGTATTCTCTATAAGAAAATATGATTTTGTATCCTAGTGAAAATTTATACTTGAGGAGTGCCATATTCTGTGTTGTTTTTCTTATCTTGACAAAAACTAGTTCAATGACCTCAGTTTCTCTGTGTTGATCTCCTGAAGGTGGAGAGTTTGGGGGTGAGGGGGAAAGAGACAAGGCATGTTGCTTACAAAGTCCTAGGGAAATTTCTCAGATATGAAGAAAATTGTAGGGAACTCAAATGATTCTGTCACATTTATTGCTTTCCATCACTCTGGAAGAGATTTGAACAACAGATCCATTTTTGAATCTGCAGGGAAAGTGATGCCCCAGAGAGAGGCATCTTCATCCTGGATTTAGCTTCTTCCATCCTACCAGTCTCTTTCTGAACCTGCAGATCTCTGAGTATATAGACCTTCTCTTAGGGTAACTTTTCTGAAGGGGTGTGGGACCATCCTTGGTTGGTCTCTGTGGGAGTTTGTGAACAGAATTGTATAGACTTAATTAGATTATGGAAATTAACTTTTCACTTTGTAACACAATTTTATAGGCTCACAGATTACAGTGGATTGCAATACAACAGGTGCTGATGGTTTTGAGGTGTTTTGGACAGGCAACGGTGTGTATATTGATGTATTTTATATGAGCAGAATTTTTGCAAGTCCCTATGAGTAAGTATATTTTCAGATTAGAAAATACCGTGTTGGCAACAAAAATGAAACTTTCTCCCTCTGACATTAAAACATATAGCAACATTTTTCACTTGCTTAAATAGCTTTCTTTTTAAAAACTCCAATGCTTGAATCCTCCAGTTCACTTTCTGCTTTGAAGTGGGAACTTGAAGCATACTAGGCACAGGGACTTCACATGTGATTGTGCTCTTTTCGGTCACTGTAAAAATCTGTCTTAATTTCTGACCGTGGGAAAAGGTGTTTTGTAACAATTTGTTAAAACATGTTTGTTTTAACAATTTGTTAACAATGTTTGTTAAAACATTCTCATCGTTTTAATACAGTTTCCATTGAGCAGGCTCTGGCCTGGCAGAGGCCTCTTTCCATTGGATCAAGCATGTCCAGGCCCATGATTTTCAGACTATTTCTTTCTTCTGCATTCTCCTTTCCATTTACATCTGCCTCTCTGAAAGGTTGCAAGAAGTCAAAGCTGTGTAACGGGAGAAATTGAGACTTCTAGGTTTAAAAGCCTTGAGTTAGAGAAATGTAACTGAGATCAGTGGTAGAGCTAACAGAAGATTTTGTTGAGGACGTTTGTACTGAAGCCTAGTAGGGTTGAGGGGAAAAGGGAGAGAGATGTCCAGTGGTGTGTTGATGCTTGGGAAGAAACCAGACTTAGACTGATAAAAGCAAGAGAAGGCCAGCTGGGAGATAAGGTGTGGGTGAAAAGCGGGTCAAATGGAGTTAGGAGAGAAGAAATTAGACCTGACTTGAAAAAGCAACTAAAATTGGAGTATAAGGCAATCTGAAAATTTCTTAGGTACGACATGTTGGGGACTAAAAATTGCAGGTGTTTTGTCAGCCCTCATCTCATGATAGTGCTATGAAGAAAAAATGTGATCATTTTTGTAAATTCTCAAGCACTATCTACGACTGAGATGTTGATGAAGGAATGCGAATGGTGATTCCAGAGCAAGAATATAATTGTGAGAAATAAGTCTCATCATAAAACAACGGGGGGAAATAAAATGCTGAATTTTTTGACTGCTCACCAAGAGGAAACCCTACACAAACCCAATATATTGTACTGTCAAGAAGAATTTTAATGCCATGAACAATTGGGCCACAATGCAGAGGCATATGGTCACTCAATTGATATCATAAAAGGAATGTTATTTTTTCTACTTCTTAGCACTTAAATGACCATCTTTGCAACCATTAGTCATTTGCATTTGTGATGTTGATTCATTCATTCCTTGTCACAGTGTTCAAAGTACTGTAACTTTTTGCTTAGAAAGTGATTTGTGTGGTCTTATATATGCCCTTTATGATATATTTCAAGCTTTTATTTTGCATTTTAAATAGTGACTAGGATACGTTTTCAGGAAAGATTAGTGCTTGGCTAAGTAGACTAGTAAGTTAATGTTATATTTGAGATCTACTGTTAACAAGGGAGTGGTATCCCTTGTTTTGCTGGTGGCTAAAAAGTTGTTCAGTTCACGCACCAGTCCTACATCACAGTACACATGACTGTCTGTGCAGCATAGTGAGCATTTTGTGCTCTTGTACAATGTATGGGCTATAATCTGTGTCTTTTAGTGGTGCAGCCTGACGGGTTAGCTGTTACAAGTCTGTTCTGATCTGTGGGGTGAAGCAGCACTTTAGGCTGTGCTCCTTGCAGCTGGAATCACACTGTGAGTTGGTGTTATCTGCTGTGGGTCACCACCTTTGCCCTCCCTGTCCCAGAGCTGCTTACTGCGAGCTGACACCCTTGTACCAGGGCCTCTTTCTCTGTCTTATCACGTTGTGGAATTTCTTTCTCTCCACCTATTCTTACAAGGGCTGGGAAGCCTGCAACAAGGGTTTGCTTATGTTTGTAAGATGTATTTTTGTACTTCAGCCTATAGAAACCTTATATCGCTTTGGGGAAACACAGCTCCAGATAAGATAGTGTCTTGCTGTTTTCCAGGGTCTATGCTAAATGTCAGTAAGAGGCCCGACTGTTGTTTGGGTTTCCTTCATATAATGTAATTGCTCATCTGTTCTGAAGCGTGGTTGTCATTTGCAGATGGAAGCACTGTTGTCGTGCTGCAGCTGTTAGTGCCGAAGCCATCCCATAAAGGGCTGCGGTTTTATGGCTCTATTTGTCACGTTTTGAATAGGGAGGAAACTTCTTATGATGGACGCCCTATGCATTCTGTGAAACTAATAATTTCAGAAGTGAATAGTGAAGATTATGAACAACCGTTTGTCTGTCAAGCTTCAAATGCCTTTGGGCAGGTTGCATCCTACATTATGTTAAAACACAGAGGTAAGAAAATACTGTTATTTTTGAGACCCGTGCTTGTCTTGACTTGCCCAGAAGGGGTTTTGATACCAAATGCTCATGTATCATGTTGACAGAAGACAAATGGATTACAGTTTGCAGTATGTATGCATGTACCTGTGCAAAGGGAAGGAGTCACTATAGTAGTGTATTTATCATTATTAAAAAGAGACGTAGATGGAAGTGAAAAATACGATACTTAAATTTGTGTTACATTTGTGTGAAAGATCAGATTTGGACAAATTCAACACTTAAAACCTAATCTTCTTATATTTTTATGCAGTTCCTGATATACAAAGGCGGCTGAATGGAGGGCTTGTCTCTTTGTTAATTTTAGCATTTATTAGTTTAATAATCTACAAGATTTTCAAGATTGACTTCGTGCTTTGGTACCGTAACTCTGTCTGTGCCTTTGCAAGTAAGGAAGGTATGTGAGTGTGACCGGGTATGTTAGTGTCACTAGACTATTGATTTTTTCAGTTCTAAGCAATAACGTGATTATTTACTGGAATGTATGTGGAATTTCCTTGAGGGATTTTCAGATACACACAAAGACATTTTGGGGGGGATTTTTTTTCAGTCATATGGGTGAATTATATAATCATAGCTGAGGTAGTAAGCACTGCATAATATTGAAGGCAGTCATGGTGAGATAGGTCAAAAAGAATTCCAGGTTATTCCCAAATTAGCATGTTGCTTTTTGCTTTTCTGTAAAGTAGTTTCTTTACAAGTAGATTTATGGTCACTCCAGTGATGATCAATAGGTGTCAGCAGAGCTACATCCTGTAAACTAGGTGTTTAAAGATGTGCATTAATATTTATTATTGAAAATCAGACTCTCATTTTCTCAGAGATTAATTTTGTTGGTTTTCTTTTTTTTTTACCCAACACTTCTTCTCAGTCCTTTCACTTATGATATTTGCATTCCAAAGAGAAAAAAAGCTACTAGTTCATTATTCTGAGATTCTTCTTATGTGTTTTCTTTGCTGCAGTGTAGACAAATACATTGGACAGGTGTGAAAAAATTGGAATAAGTGCAACATTATAGATATTTTATGCGGCAGTGCACAGAGTTAGATTGCCTGAAGTTCCCCATAGCTTGAAAGCAGATGGGTTACATGCATTGAGATAGTTAATGTTTACTCACAGCTGTTGTAAATGCTTTCACAGAAAAGTAATTTCAACTTCTGGTTAAAAGTTCAGTTTCCCCAGAAAACTTTAATAGATTTCTAATGAAAAAAAAAAAAAAAAAAAAAAAGAAATGATGTTTTGTAGCTTGTTAAGCTAAACTTAACTTGTTGAGCTAAACCTGTTTTTGTTTTGGTTTCTTCATTCCTGTTTATTATGCAGTTTTAACTCTCAAAACCTCAGCTGCCTTCTTGCCTTCCCCCCACAGAATTATTACAAGAAAGAATTGCCTCTCCTTGTGGTTAGTCAGAAGTAGATATAACTGCTGTTGAGTTTGTTTCAGGGAAGGTGGTGAAGCAAGTCCTGCAAGAGGACACTTTCTTAATGTCCTGGCACCTCTGGGGTTGAGGGCTCCTTCCTGCATGTCCCAGGTCCCACATCCAGCTCGCTCGCTGGCACGTCTGTCCCCATGATGGGAAAATAAATCAGGTTCTGTGGCTGATGATCCTTCTTTCGATTTGTAGAGCATTTTAGTGCTTTGACATTATTCTGTCTGATAGGTGATAGGTCAGACAGCCCTCCATTACTAAACAGTCCAAAATGAAACATTGCAATAAAGGCACATTGCTGATTTTAGTTTTTTAATAGAAACATTTGTGTTTGTTTCAGATGGGAAAATCTACGATGCATATGTCCTGTACACAAAAAGCAGTGGAGGCAGAAGTTTCTGTGATGTGGAAGTATTTGTTCGTAGAATACTCCCTGATGTTTTAGAACAACAATGTGGATATAATCTCTTTATATTAGGAAGGGATGATTTACCAGGAGAAGGTATGCTTTAATTAGTAGAGTTCATATATTGTCCTTTGACACGTTGTTCTTGGGTAAGAGGATTATATATACAATTTAGAAACCCCTGTTTTTGGAACATAAAACTGTATTTGTTTATTTTTAATTGGTAATTTGTCCGATGGGCAATTTTTTTATTTTTAATATTTTTGGATTCTTACCAAAAATTCTGTTCTGATGTTATGAGGGTTTACACTTTCTTTTTAGTGATGAACAAATGAGGATTCACCAGCATTAATAATATTGTTGAGGTTTTTGGAATCGTATCTGCTCCCGGGGACTGAAGAAAACGATTTTTATTTGTAGTTTCATGCAATGGATCATGAATCATGAATGACAGTGTGGAGATCTTAAACCTGCCAGTCCTCTGAGCTAGCTCCATATATATGCAATTTTAAAATTAAGAAATATTTTACACAAGTTGTAAAGTTTATATGCAAACTTTGATTGTTCCTTTATTACTGACAGCTTTGGTCAGTGTTGCAGATGAAACCCTTAAGCAAAGCAGAAGACTGATGATTATTCTGGGGTCAGAAACATCAAGTTGCTCCCTGCTAGAAGACACCTCTGAACAACAACTAGCTATGTATAATGCTCTCATCCGTGATGGGATTCAGGTGATTCTTATAGAAATGGATGAAATACAGGACTACAGAAGCATGCCGGAATCAGTCAGATACATTAAGCAAAAACATGGAGCTATCCAATGGAAGGGGGACTTCTCAGAGAAATCTTGTTCAGCAAATACAAGATTCTGGAAAAATGTACGCTATCAAATGCCATCCAGGAAAAAGGCATCTTATTCTGAAGTGTATTTGTTGCCCCTAACTTTGAACAGTTCTGCAGCAAAGGGGAGCTAAGGTGCACTTATTAAAATAATACAGAGAAGGTAATTCTGAAATGTGGGTTTTCTAACACATATTCTTTATATTACAAAGTAAATGTTTTCTTCAGTGAGTAAATCTAGGCATCCCTTCCCCAAATTGCAACCTAAAACAAAAACTCTATGCAACTTTATTTCTATTCTGGGTTTTGGATAGTGACACAATTTGTTATGTTAGTCTCACACAGATACGAGAATTAAATGTTACTGATGGTGAAGAAGCAGCTGTGAAGTCCACTTTTTAAAATTGAAACTGCAGTTGATAAATTAAAAGTCTGTTTCCGTCGTCAGCATTTTCCTAGTCATTTTGTTCCTCTTCTTGTTGCCCCTCTGTGATTGTCTGACTTCCTCATTACTGCAAGAATCTGCACTGTGCAATCTTTGGGGTCCCCTCCTGAGCAACAGGTCTTATCCTTGCTTCTTGAAGGGGTTGGGGATATACATGACATAGCAGGTATATTTAAAACTCCTCACAACACTAAATGTGTTTCAGCTGGGTACCAAATGTGTTCAGCAAACGGAATGGAATCCATGGCTTTTTAGGCATTTGTTGAGTAATTCTGTAATATCTGGTTTATGGGGTGTTTCTAAAGTTAGTCTCCTGAAATGGTCAGGAAACTGAAAATATTTCGGATTTCTTGCAAACTGGAAGCTTTCTAGACTGTGCTGCTACTCTGGAAGCTAGATGTTCCAATTCCATGTTTCAGCTGTGCTAGCTACAAGCACAGAAATTCACTGAGAATCTATCAAAACACCATGCTTGGGCTGGGTATCCGGGAGAGAGTGGAAAATGGCCAGTTCTGAAACACGACCAGGTGCTAATGGCAAGAAATAATATCTCATTGACTTGTGAAAGAAGAAATTAGAGGCATGTGGCTGTATCAACCTGCCTGGGAGTAGCTCGGTACTTCTGGACCTCAATCCATTGTTCTGTGAGCATCACCATGAGAAATCAGTGTGCTGCTTCCTTTTCAGGAGGGACTGAATTGGCAAGAATTTTCACGCTCTAGCCTTGAAGAGCATAATCTGTATGCAAATGTGAATTCTGCTTGCATTTTTTTTTTTTTTTTTTTTTTTCCCCCTGAAGTTAAGTAGTTTCTTACATTATCTTTATTGCCAGGATAGCATCTGTCACTGAATTCCTTTCAGCTGGTTCTCAGAAGTGTGTATGCTGTGGAATGTATTTGCTGGGCTGTATTGATGGGAGAGAAAGCAAGGTCCAGGAATGGAACATATGTTTAAAGTGAAAGATTTGCAGTAGCATTTCATGGTACCTTTTCTTTGAGAAGGTCTAGCAAATATTCCTTAGGAGTAGTGTCTCATCCTCCTGGCTGTGGGGTTCACAGCTCTTTAATTTTCCACAGCCTCCATTGACTAGATACTTCTTCTGAGATGTCGCCACGAAAACCGTGAACAGGAGAGATGCATCAGATGAGGTACTATTGTCCTAGTAGATGTTGAATCAGTCTTCTTTGGAAATGCATAATGTTTAGGCTGGAACCTTTAAAAAATAAATTTAGGAACCTGGAGAGTTTAGGTAATCATTTTAAATTTTTCATTGTAAATTTTTCACATTGTGTTTAGACTTAGACTTGCTCAGAAAGGTGTTGAAAATCACACTGTCTTTCAAGGATTTTTTTTCACTTGTGTTTAAAAACAGAACCCTCTTATTTTCCATGTAGAATGAGAGAAGTAATAAAGAAAAGACGTTGAAACTGTGGTAGATTTTTTTCAATTTCCTAATTTCATATGCTTTGGAATAAAAAAATACCAATGACTCCAGGATTTGAAGTACTACAGATAAGTACATTGATTTGCATGGAGTCGTGTTGGGTTTTTTTGTTTGTTCTGTGAATGTGCTATTATGATTTCTTGCCACTTTTTTTCATAGTTCTTTTCAGAGGTTTGCTACAATATATAAGATAATCATTTTCCCACTAAACGAAACTCTGAAAGACTTTTAAGTGAAGACAGATGATTGTGAATCAGCATTTATCTACCTGATACTTTCTTTTAAACAACCATATTTAGTATGATTATGTAGGCATTTTAGTATTCTTGTGTGAAAATGAGCGTGGGAGAAAGGTTTCAGTTATTGTGGTTAATTGTTAGCTAACTACTTGAATGTAGCACGACACGAAGTGGCTTATCCTTTTATCATGAGGCTGTATTTTGAAACTGAATTTTGTCTGTTTTCTCCCTTGGAAACTTTTTTGGCAAGTCACATAGGAAACTACACTATTTTTTGTGATACAATAAAAGAAATCCCATAGAGACAGATGTGCTGATTTCCCTTTATTAAAAAAACCTTTCGCAAACAATTAGTTGGCTAGACGTCTGCTTCTGGAAACTTAGTAGCTTCAGAAGGAAAAGGCAAATGCAATTTAATCTGTGAAAAAAGTATTTGTTCACCACAATGTGGTAGATATATTTCAGTTTATTGTCTATCTCTGCTGACAGAGAAAAGAGCCTGAATGGTTTGTGGTGTAAGATATATTGAAAGCATTCTCTGCACCATTTTTTACTTTTCAACCATAACTGTATGATATTTTTTCTGTTGTCTTCTTCCCATCAATTTATTTGGCACTCCAGATTGCCCTGTTCCTTTCTTGTCTTGTGAGTACCCTGTCTCAAATTTTCTAATTCCATTGCATCTTTCCATCCATACTGTGAGGCTGGGTTTTTTTCCGGGAGACCTTCTTCCTTTCATATTTTTCCTCCCATAACCCACTTTCTTACCTTTATGGCAGACAGTGCTGAGATACAGCCTGTTTCACATTTTAATGTACCCATCCAGGACTGTATTGTCTAACGGATAGAGGCTTACGCGGTGGGGAGGAGCATGTGCTCTGAGCCCAAACCCGGAACGAGTTGTTACAACCTGGTGGAGTCTATGGGATGGCCCCAGACAACACAGCCCTAAATGACTTTCTTTTTTCCCTTTTAATTACCTCCGTGTTGAACCCTACAAGGTAGATGAGCACAAAGGTGCTTTTGCATTTCGCCTTGCTCCCTTGAGCTGCTGCTGGAGGGGGAAGCCCATTCTGCCTTTTGTCCAGAGGCTAGGGTAGTTTAACTGCTATACCTCCTGCCATAGCTTCAGGTAGCCTGAAGATGAAGCAGGCAGAATACAGTTAATGTTTATAAAATCTGGGCTAAGGAGAGACATTTTCTCTCCTGGAAATACTTGAGGATGTATTACATTGTAGAGCTTCAGAAGACAAGTAAGTAAAGTCAGTGGCTGGCACTCCGGAGTACTGCCAGGTCTATGGTTTAGTCATAGATGCTACAGCACACGAACACGGGAGCAACAGAGTTTCCTCCTCCCATCCCTTCACTCGTTATTCCCAAGAGTAAAGGCAAAGTACACAGCTTGATGTGTGTTCTTGTTCTCTTTTAAGATGGGATAATATTCATCAGGATTTGATGCGTTTATTGAGACAAACTGGACATTAGTCACTGAAAGTGAGCCAGAACGTAGTACAAAGCACTTGTGTCCTCAGCCCATTCTAAGGTAGCTTCCCATGTTGTGATCGATTGGAAAAAGGAGTCTGATGTCTGCTGGGCATCAGGGAGCACAGTTAAAAAATACAGCTCATCTGTGACTTCCTCTGAGAGAGCACCTGGCTCACCGGGGCTTTACAGCTGGAGCTGGAGCTCTGCTTGGCAATGACAGTGACTGTCAGGAGTTGGCATTTCACCCCGAAGGAAGGTAGAAAGCTCACCAAGACATTAAAGTGAATTTTCTGCTCCAGAAAGGTTGGATTTGGATTGCTGCTCCAGATCAGATGTCTTAGATGTGTCAGTTCTTTTTGTGGTTCATTTTTGCCCCCAGCCACTCATTTGATCTTGCTGTAAATTTTTTTTTGAGCACAGCAGTGGCTGTAGTAGAAGGGGGATTTTGAACACTGTCACATTAGATTTTTTTTTTTTTTTTTTTTAACACTAAGCGATTTCCCTGATGGGCTTTATTTCTGTTGGCTATTGTTAAAATCCATATTCTCTCTTTCCCTTATCTCACCAGCAATATGTATCAGGGGAGTGCTTCCTTTTTTTGCACTGTCCCTGGTAACACAACCCAGTGCTGCCTCATCTTTCCTCCAGTCTCTAATGCTGATTTTGATCTTTTGTACTTTCTTGCTCAGTTTATATACTGTGAATGTGTGTAGATTACCCTGAAGGATGGGAAGGGACACATTCAAGTTCTTAAGGTATTTTTTCTCTCTTTGAGCACATTGTTTCTAATACCCATATTGTTTGTTTTCTATTTTTCAAATACGTATAACTATTTCTTCTGTTCCATGGAAGTTGGACAAGCAATTGGATTTGGAAAGAAATTCAAGCTACCTACACTTACCCTACCTCTCACTCCTTGGAAGGCACATTCAGACCGTGTCAGCTAGGTCTGTACTTTCTGGGTAAGGTGTGCCACAACCACATAATTTCAAATGGAGCATAGGAGAAACAACTGGCCAAATGAATCTTTGTAGGAGTAAAGAAGTTACAGACAGAAGAGGTTATAAATTCTCCCACTTCTGAAATGGCGAATAAGCAGGGTATTTGGGAGTTACAAAAAAATAAGATTCATCTGTCCCTTTAAAACAGAAAAAAAAATTGGCAGTTAACTTCCCTACATATTGCCTGCAGGAACAAATAGTGAAAAAGCTAAAGAGCTGACTTGACAGGGACACTCACAGTGGGAACGAACTTGTGTGCCATATGTCCCCCTACCATCTGTGTAAGCTCTCTTCTGGGTCGTGACATCTGGTTCTGCTTGATATCTGGCTCCAATTCCTGTATTTTTAGAGTAAACGGGGCTTGATTCTCCTCAGAGACTGAAGAGAATAGACCACATGCTGACTTCTGCAAGAAAAGCCAAGTTTCTTGTAAAAATACGGCTCCTCAGCCTCGATCTGAATGGCTTGGTACACGTATGTATTTAAATGAGCCAAGGATGTGCCAGCACTGTCTGCTGTCACTTCTTAAAAACCACTAACTTTGGCGTGTTTGACACTTTTGGAGGCTTGGGCCATAAAGTTAGTTGGGTACCTAAATCAGGAGATGAACTAGTTTATTATTGAGGAAAGGATCATGTCCAAGAGAGCAGACAACCGAGGATGGGCAAAGATCAGGGGTCTCAGGGTGAGGGTTGGTGAGGGAGTAGGAACATCTGCCGTGGGGACCCCAAACCCTTCAGCAGTGAGCTGCACCAGCCTTGCGCTGTGCAATGTCTCCACCTAGTGATGCCTCAGACTGAAGCTCTTCCATTTTAAAAAAAAGCCACTCTTTAAGTAAGATGGTAACGAAGTTCTGTTGCTAATAATGCCAAGCCACAACACTATTGAAAAAAAAAAAAAAAACACAAAACACTAGGAGGGAGTCAAAAAAAGAAGATACTCTGATGGCTGCTGTTCTGAATTACATTGTAATTATTATTTTTAGTGCTTTTCCCATCCTTTGTAGGAACTAACAAGGAGTTTAGTGGAAAATGAGATTTTTGGCCTTTGAGTCTGTACATCTGTTAATTCACTGACTCAGAATCAATTGCGAAATGGGGAGGAGTTGTCCCCTGTAGAACTGTGTTTCTTTATCAGCCTCCAGCATATGTCAATTAGATGCGACTGCTTTATGTTGAGCAACACTTCCCATGGATTATTCCAAGAAAAAGACTGTGAATGGAGACCACTTCATCTGGGATCTGCATTCCAGGAGATCAGCTGCGCATGCTGGCTGGGGGACCATTACCAGCCCTGAGCTCCCCTGGCAATTGAGAGACCCACAGATCACTTGACTTGGTAAACTATGGAGAATTTGTGCCTAATGTAACTATCATCTAGCCTACTGAGGTGGGAACAAATGGATCCAGTGGTCACAGGATAAGAAAATCTTGGGAGTCTGGAGTGCTGAAGTGTTTGTAGAACCTAAGTCTGCAGATGGACAGGAGGCAAAATTCAGTAGTCCTGGAGTCCTTGGCGAAGAATTCCCTCAGGGCTGCCATCAGAGAGGAGCAGTCAGATGAATTATAAGGACCATCCAAAACTGAATGTTCCTGAGAGCAGGAAGCACTGGCCAGTTCTTCCTGGCTCTGATGATTTGGGAGTCCAATTTCACAGCAGTCTCTCTGACACCTTAAATGATCAGTCTCCATTCCTTGCCTTGGATGGTGTGCCCAGGCCCCAAGGGACCTTGTAAGCCTACTTTTCCCTTCTGGTATGTAGACCTCTTTTTTTTTTTTTTATTATTTTTTTTTTTAAATTAATCCATGGTTGTATGGTTTGTAAGTTGAAGAGAGTTTGCAAAATGGATTTGGTGGTTTCAAAGCCTATCTAGAACAGTTGCAAAAATCTACATGGAGCAAAATTTTGCACTTGGATTAATGCCTGTCTTAAGATAATATTCTCAATAATATTTCTATTAATGTTAATATTAATAATAAATGCAGCCAAATAAATAATCCTGCCATGGCTCAGGCAAAATGATTCTGAGTTCCAGAACTAATGGTGAAGATGAAACTTTGCAGAAAGCGATTAAAGCAATTAGCACAGGATGGCTGGGGCAGAGTGGTTCATAATGCTATCATCAACTCAAGGAGCTCTCAGTAGTAGTCAGATTTTGTAGCAAGCACTCAGATGGAAATTCTTAAAGTGTCGTAGGAGTGTACTCATTAGGATACATGAAGGTCATCTGATGATAGAAGAGTCCAAGAACAACCCCAGGCATGCTTTGCGTGTAGGCCCTCACGTGTACGGTGCTGCCAGAGCTGAAATTTTTTGCTCCAGCTGTGGGGAGGCTATGAGCAGTCACTGGTATCCTGGGGGAGGCTGGAAGTTATGGGAGAGAGGGGCTCTCAGTGGGCTTGGTGGGGCTTCAGGAATCTGGGAGCCAGGCCGTGCACTTGTTTCTCTTCTTTTTCAGTCTCCCTCTCTTTTCCTTGAAACCCACCAAAAGAGGCTGTCTCTTGTTTACTTCATACTCAGGGGCATGCAGCTGCTTCTCTCAAAAAACAACCACCTTACTCACATGCCTGTACTTCTGAGTTACAACAGGTCCTAGCTAGAACAGGGCTAGAGTGCTCCAGAAGGCAGACACTATATATATTTCTCCCAAAGATGTGAATAATACAGGGTAGTGGCCATTTCCATTTATGGAGTAGGGTCCTGGAGGGTAGTATGAGATGGTCTTCCACAGGAAATAAAATGAGAATTCGTGGCCATACTGTAATGTGGGTTATATCAAAGTCTATATTTTGTAAAATAAAACATGCCGTTTTAAAAAATAACCATATGACTTGTTCTTTGGCAGCTAAAAACTGTCTCAACTGAATAAGAGGCTAATTGGAAAAATTGCTTGTAGTGCTTTAAAATTGTTTGGCCAATTTGACCTGCACTTGGCAGCATTATAAAGACCTTGTGGCCTGGCCTGGCCTTGCCTGGGGGAGGAGAAGGGAGGAAGTGGGGAGGAATAAAGCCAGCAGCACCCTACATAATTACTGATTAAGATCATGTGTAGCATGTTGAGCTACTTGTGGGACATGTGAGGCAGCAAAGTGCTGTTTTATCTTTGTACGTACCTCTAACCACAAATGTACTTACTACGAGTATATTTCACTGCTCTTGGCTTTTCTCTTTGAAGATAATTCCAGTCAGCCTGATGATCTTCTTCTGATTTCCTGAGCGGGGCCACCTCCTGGATCACCATGTTTCTCTCACAAGACCTGGTGTTGTGGAAATTCCCTTGCCTTAGATGCAGAACAGAATTTTTCTTCCCCTGAAGGCTCCTGGTTTGTTGTCAGCAAAGTATTTTCAAGCAGTGAGTACAGGGCACTTTTGAGGGGAGCTGTAGAAGCAGTTATTTTTGATCTACCCTGAAAACTTGCCCCTGTATTTCCTAACAGAGTGCAGGATGTACCCATCTGCAGGTGATCCTATATGCCTTGGAGGGGAAAATGAGGCTTTTGACATGCAATGAAGTTTGCTTACAGATGCTGTGAGTCTGCCTGTTCCTCCAGCTAGGGGCTTGTAAGGGCTGGAGGGAGACGTGCTGGCTGCAGTAGCTCCAGCTGACCAGTTCCTCAGGCCAAGAGCTGTCTCACAGCCAAAAGACCAAGTTTGCTTACAAGGGCTGCTGAGAAAAAAAGAGGAACAACAAACACTGGAGAAGAGCATGAGAAATGCTCTGTGGAGTCAGGCCAGCAGCTGTCTTCAGCAGCGGTGAAAGGAGCTGCTGAAAATCCAACTGATAGCTCCACAGCAGCCCCAGGCCGCTGGGCTGGCTCTCCAACTGCCGAGGTAGCCGGGTAGGTTGCTGCTACCTTCTCACCTCATTGCCTGGCCTCAGTGTGCTCCAGCTTCTGGTGGGATGCTCTGTCGTCGCTGGAAAAGGGTGATGTTTCTGGAGGCTCAGGTGGGCATCCAAGCTGAAGTCACCCTTGCTCCGGTGCTGCGCCTGCATGGACAGCCTCCCAAGGGTGCTGGCTCCAGCTGCACCTCTTGTTGCTGTCTGCTGAAGCCAACTTGGCTCCTGTGCTGTGGCCGTGTCACTTCTGTGCTGGGCCCACCCTGTAGACTGCTCAGGTCGGATTCCGGGCCTGTCATCCTTAGTGCTTCCTCAGGCACTCCCTCAAGGCCAAGGAGTGGAGTCAACAGCAGGCAGGCCCCTAAAAAGAGCCCTTCCTGTAGACCAGAGATGCTCCCACCTGAAGTCTCTCTCCTCTTGCTTGATCTGGCCTTACCAAGCTGCAGCACTGGTGGTAGAGACACCTTGTGCTGGCTGGCTAATGGATTTTTGTCCCCACCAGCTGTTAGCTAAGACTAGCCGGGCTGTTTTAGTGTCGCGAGCTTCAGAACGCAGGGCTGGTTGAACAAAAGCGAGTGACATCATCGTGTAGGTTCTCCTGGAGATCTTGGGGTGTTCTGAGCTCTCGGCATGCTCTGGTCTCCCGTCTGCCTGTCAGCAGGGAGCTGTGCACATTTGCAGCTGCTGGGCCATGGGTAATTCTCAGACTACGTGGATTTTATCACCCTTCCTCAAGATATGAAATGTCAATTCCACAGAAACCCTGGGGTCAGGATAACATTCCGGTGTCTGAACCCTGATGTTTCTTTAGTATTTTGTTTCATTTTTCCCCTCTGTAGCAACAAACAAAACCCCATGTGTTACCTGCTGGGTTTTGTGTAGCTTGTTTGGCCTGTGTTGCTCCAGTATTTCATGGCATTTTGCCACTGTCTGTAGCAATAGGTGTCAAATGAAATTGTGCATTTACAGTGAGATGCTTTTATCATGCTTACTCAGCAAATGTTTAGATGCGGGCAGGCTGTTGACTTTCTCTCTTGAGTGAAAGAGAGGTTTTTGTGCTTCCTGCAAAGTCTGTTGCCATCGGTAGGAAAGTCCTCAGTGTGAAGTATTAGAACCCAAACACTGTTCTGTAAGCCTTGAAAACTACACAGATCAGAGCTTATTTCCATTCAGGTATAATAATACTGAGTTGGTCTGTTGTTATTGCATAACATAATTAACCACATCCTCTCCCAGAAAAACAGTAGAGCTCTCTTTCCTTATTAAGGTGACTTTGGACTCTGGAAAGTATTAAACCAGTCAACTTTTCTCTTGAAGAAAACAGCGTTCTTCGTTGGTTCTTGGTTAGCAAACAGTCATGCAACATGAAGTTACCAGAGAAATGTCTGCAGGCATCATGCTGGTGCAGCCATCCAGTGCAGCTGGATATCAGAATTGTGACACTTTTTTGCTGCTCTTCTGGCATGGTCTCGCAGGTGCTTATTTCCTGCCCTTACAAGTTTGGACTTTCCTGCTCCCTCTGTCTGTCCACACGTGCTCCAAGGCTGCCCTTTCTATTGTGCCAGCACAGCTGCCTGTCTGTGAAACCAAACCAGCTGAGAATAACTGCTTTTGTTGTTCTTCTTGGCCAGATATTTCTTAGGCAGATCTGTATTCTGAACTGTCTGCCATCTTGGAACATAATTTTTTTTTTTTTTTTTTTTTTCTGGCACAGGAGAGGGAGGGAAGGCAAGGGTGGATGATTAGGATGGTGTGAGAAGCACTGATCCTAAAGCACAGACTTGGTAGGGTTAAGCAGCTGTTCGATGGTCTGTGTTCTTGTGACTATACTGCTTCCAGCACTCAGGTATGGTCTTTTGGAGCCCCCTCTGTAGATGGCAGTATTGTCTCTCTTCTCTGGCCACATGTTTGGCTTTTAAGGATTTTTTTCTATGCATTGCATCTGATGGACTTTTAGTTGCCCTGGTCAAGGAGCTGAGCAAAAAAGGTCGTATCCCACAGTAAGCAGCATGGTCTGAGACACCAGCTTCTGAGGAGGGGTATTTTCTGCAGTGAACACAACCTTTCTTATGTTTTTACCCATTCCTTTATCAAGCTTCAGCACAATCTCAGTGCTGTCCATCCAGCACATTAAAGAGAAAAATATGATGGATCTTCAGGAAGGAGACATCAGCCTTGTGTAACTCCTGCCAGATGGCACAAAAGAAGTGGGAAGTCCACATGGGTTCCTGGAGAGACCTGACTTGGAGGAGAGATCCAATAGGAGATGAATAAACAGACAAAACATAGCAGGCTCAGGAAATTCCTGGTGCTGAGAGCGACTGGAGACTAGGAGAGTACTGAGGTGGAGTTATGGTATATGTTGGATGTGATCTTACTCTTTATTTTTCTTAAAAGTCCTTACTACAGAAGAATTACTGTGCTAGATGGTCTGAACCAGCAGAGCTGTTGTCATATTTCTATGACTTGGGCTATAAAAGCAGTACAAGGATAGAACTATTCCATTAAGGTTTGCTACCACTGCTGTTGACGAGCATTCTTTCACATTTTTTTTTTTATTTTTTTTTATTTTTCATGTACTTTATTGATGGTTTAATTCCATAAATGGCAAGTCTTGGAAGGAATTATCTTGTCTGAATTGTAGACTCTTTGAAATTCATCATTGTCTACTTCTTTTGTTCATCACCGCCTGTTCTTTTGTGTCAACAAAGTTTGTTGTCATTGTCCATTACATTGCCTCAACAGGCTCCACAGATGCTTTTTATTCTTCTGAGAGTTTGTCATTTTGCCATGTTTTCAGTAACCCCAGCTATCTGTTGATTCGAGATCTCATATTTCCATTGTTTGTGGCAGTAAATTTATTCTTTGTCTTTTCAAGCTTTAATGGACCATCTGAAGGGACTCTGTTGGTGAAA